TCCTCCTCGCCTCTTCCTTCCTCCTCCTCCTCAGCCCTCCCCCGCACTGACCCCATCTCTCTCTGCCTCTCTCCCGCTAGCCGCCGCTGCCGCTCCTCTAGCCTCCTTCTTTTCTTCTCCCTATAACGAGAGAGAATAAAAGAAGGGTCAGTCACCGACCGGGTCAGGCTCATAGTCTCGCTCCCCCCCCCCGCGGGGTGGGGGGCAGAGGCGAAAAGGGGGGGCTCCCCGCCACCATCCCGGAGCCTGTTCCAGGCAGCGACGGCGGGGAGGGATTAAGGAAGGGAAAACAAGCAGGCGCGGTGGTACTTACGGCTCTTCGCCATCCGCCATAGTAGCCCCCCACCTTTTCTTTCTTTTCTCTCTTCCCACAATGCACCACGACAGGAAGTGCCTTGCCGGCCACGTGCTAAAGCCATAGAGTACTTGTTTTGCCGGCGGGGTCTTGGTAAGAGCTTTGTTGTTGCTGGGGTCTCCGAGCGGACGTAGGTAAAAGAGTTAAAAGGGGAAGGTTACTGACGCCACCTCCGGTTGTCAGGTGGCGGGTCTTGAGAACCAAGCAATTACATCAATCGTGCTGTACTGCGGGCCTGGCTTCTGAATGAGAATTTATATCAAAGAAGTGTATCAAGAAATGCTAGGCGTTGTCTTTCTGTGCGATTAAGGCTGGGTTCTCCTCGCCTGCAAATCGGAACCGGACGTGTTGAGTTGGTGTCTTAAAGACCAGAATGACAATTGTTAAGTGTTAAGTTCCTAATTCAGGGCGCCGGCAGAGCGCCACCTAAGGGATATCTCTGGGAGTGACAGCCAGGAAAAAAAATGACCTAATACTGCAACAAAACCAGTAGGGATGGAATTACGATTCTCAAGTAAGGCATTACACATCAAAAGACGAAGTTGCTCTTTTTTCTTTTTAAAGACAAGAAGCTGAAGATGAGCGTCTTTGAAAAGGACTTCTAGATCGAAGCTTAAGTTTTGTCTGTTCAGTAGAAGTGATTCCTACCCTTTAACCTTACTAGCAGTGGTGTATAATGGGCTGGCTGACAATCAGCCAACAGATTACATCCAGTCTAGGCAGGGATGCTTTATATATATAAGTGAAATGCCACTCATGCATCATCACGAAATCTCCAGAACCATAAAGCCTACAAAATTGAAATTTGGCATGTATGTTCCTCTTGGCTTCAAGGTGCTCGCTAAGAAAGGATTCAACCATGATATCATTAGTATTTCTTATATTATTATTAACACGCTCTGATGCTAAGGAGTTAGACATTCTGCTTCCCCACTCCACCTGAAAGGGAGAGGAGGTAACATAGGAGAGGCTTCTGTGGGGCAAGCCTGAGGGAGAGGAGAGCCAACTACTCATTAATGTTCAAGCTTTAACTGTCAATTTATCAAGCCCGTTCACATAGTTCTGTAGTGAAGCACAGGTATCCAACCGACTAGTTACTGATTAAAAAGTTTTATTCCTAGTTCAGTCAGTTTCAGAAGGGTTATTTTCTGCTGATTCAAAACACAGGACCCAAAGCAAATAAGGCTCACTGCAGTATTTATTAATGGTGCACACTGGAGGAATTCCTTCCAGAGAATAGTGGAAGGCCTGCAAATGAAAGAATGCACTTGTATTTATACATTTCAGAAAGGAGCGGAAAGTGATAGTCATACATATTTACAATAAAAGCTCATGACAGCATAAATATTCAAACCTAAAGTTACTTCCCCACCCTTCTACGGTCATTATCTTCAAGAAAGAACTGTCTAAATGAGAAAGAAACAAATTATGTTGCTACAGAAATTTTGATAAGATTTACTAAGAATCCAGGCACTTCAAGGTTGCCTTTTTAGATGCCAATTAGTACACATTACTTGTATGTTTTTAGTTTACTAACGTGCTCCAAGCTCCTCTAAGAATTTGTTTTCTGACAATTCACCCTGAAATATCAATTCCATAGATTGGTCCCTGGATTTTCTCAGATTATTAGTAACAAGAGGTGTTTTTATATATTTACATTCAGTGCATTAGTTGGAATTGCTGCTGAGTCATTCTTTACTAGCAATTATATTGGGATTAGCCATTGTGTCCTGAGGCAAGCTACCCTTGAAGAGGGTTTGTTGGGGCAAAATGTTGCAATATTAATTGGTGTATGCTACTGGAGTAAAACTAATCAGTTTGTAATAGAAAAGATTCTGTTGAAGAGTCAACAAGGCCTCTCCTGTACTGAAAAGTCTTTACATGTGGTCAATTGATTTTTAGACCCAAAACTCACCCTTCTCCTACAAACCGACCCAGATCTGCAGGAGAAACTATTCCATTTTTCTCACTTATTAGTGAGAAATTACTATTATGGATTATAGATTCTGCCCCTTTGGAACATTTGATTGATATGTAGTTTCTGTAATTGCATCTTTAAAACTGACATAACCATTTCAAAAGAATAGTTGTTTCTCCAACGTTGCACTTTTCCAAAATTTCTAGTAAAACGTTTACTAGATTGTTAAAGGCTTGAGAAGGACTGTGAAATCAGTATTCAGAGCAAGAAAATTATGCTATATGCCTCTGCAATCTTATTTGAGAGAAAGATCTATTGAATATCACAGTCTACAGGTAGTCCTCAACTTAAGACCACAATTGAGCAGCAAATTTCTATTGCTAAGCAAGACAGTTGTTAAATGAGTTTTGCTCCATTTTCCTTTCTTACCACACCTTTAAGTAAATCACTGCAGTTGTTACTAACTTTAGTAGTATGGTTAAGTGAATCTGGCTTCCTCATTGACTATTGTCAGAAGGTTGCAAAAGGGTCTGACACTGCAGCCATCATAAATACATGCCAGTTGCCAAGTGTGCAAATTTTGATCATGTGACAGTGCTGCTAAAAGAAGTCAATAAATGGATGGTTGTAAGTCAAGGACAAGATAAGCTTATCGAGATACAACATGAACAAATTGGATCAAAGAAAATATTATATACTGTTATAATCAGGTCAGGAACAATGTCGAAATAGTTTCCAGGTGGATTTCAGCCTAACTTTTTAAAAAGAATTATAAGGCTAACATTGACCTTATCCACTCCATTATCATCCAGCTGGTGGGTGGATGATAATGGTGGGTGGTTATGTCATTAATAGGGCAAACATTTCATTGGCTCAGAGGTGGACAAATGAGAGTTTATTCCAGTTGAGCTGGGGGCCAAGGGAAAAATTGTACAACAGCTCCAAGCATTCATTACATATGAATTACACCTGCTGAGTATAAATCTTTGCCTTGAAAAGGAAGGACAATATGCAAGGATGAAAGAGTAAATGAGAGTTCTAGGGTGCACTGTTGGTATAAACTAGATTTTTTTATTGTGCCTTTATTATTTAT